ACCACAACTGTATACATAAAATAAAAAAAAACTAATCAATTAAACTTGCACAATTAGATTTGTATGAAAGCACATACTTTGTTGTCAAAATGAGCCTAACACACAAAATAATAAGTCTGATTAGGGATAGAAAAGATCAGTTTCCAAAAGCAAACATAAAATTTGGAAAGTTGTAATTGCTGTACTCACAGTTTATGAAAATGTTAACTTCAGTTAGAAAATATTAAACATTTGTTAAATATGGTTTTCTGTTCTCATATTTAAATATATTTAAATATCATATCATATTTATATCATACAATATAATTAAATATTCATATTTAAATATGTTCTCGTATTTATTGTTTTATTTTGAATGTGTTTTTGTAAAGTCATAATTTTGTTATAATATTGTTTTGTTATGTTTGCTATTTGCAATAGTTGCTACTATTTTCCATAGTGTGATTTTTGGTGAATTATATTACAAAACTAGGGTAAGTTTGATCCTCAAGCATCACTGTAATTATTAACTAATATGGAACCCACAACAATCGTCCCCGTTTTTGAATTCGTAGATAATCAAAAATGAGATTTCAGTGATATTTTGACCACTGAGCTAGGAAATGTCCCCGGTTGAAATCTGGTCACCTTAGTACGGTGGCCGAGAAGTGCAAAGCAAATTACAATTCTGAAAACAAAAGTGTTTTCTGACTCGTTATAATGTTTTCTGAATTGTTGTTGTGCTTTCTGAATTTTTATTTTGTTTTTTAGACTTGCATTTACGTTTGTAATTTGTTATTTTGTTTTCAGAATTGTGATTTGCTTTGCACTTCACGGCCACCGTACCTTAGCTTATATAGGCTCGTAATGATGAATTGACAGTATTGAATTAGGCTCCTCCCGAACCTATACATTTGGAACTTCATTATGAACAAGTTTCTAACCCTGTTAAATTTCATCACAGGTTGTTACACGTGCGAGATTAGAATACTTGATAAACCTTTAATTAGCCTATTATTCTCTAATTATTCGCCGAGACTCCACACGATTGTGGTAATTCTATAGTTGCTGTGGTAATATAACAATTATAGTAATATAAACAAATTACTTTACCCAATACTGTACTAAGTTTTCTATAAGCCTACTACAATACACTACAGTTTACTGTAGTAAAAACTAAAGCCTAGCCTACTACAGTAGGCTATTACAATTTATCAGTTCACTCTATGCTGTAGAAAGTGTTGTAAATACTATAATATATACAGTATAATACACTTTACTATAGTGTGGTTCAAAAACACTAGTATTTACTATAAATTACTATAGTATTTTTTCATGTGGGTTCTCAGAAGGAATTTTTCAAAAATGTCAAGCGGAGGCACGTTGTCGGTTTAGGCTACTAATTACAAATTAGTTAGCTGACTCTTTAAGGTTAAAATTCAATTCAGTGTAGCCTACATTTAAGTGTTAACTTGAGCAACTAAACTGTTCGCTAAAGAGTCAAAATATGATAACAGAAATAATTTCTAATAAAATCTTATAGGCTACGACTCTTTTAATTTTAGGTAGAAATGTGAAGCTATATGCCTACTCACCAACAGTAATTTTGAATTTCCTGTGTAAGATCATAGTGGTGGTGTTGATCTCCACCTTATAAACTCCAGACAGTTTCATTTGAATGTTTTTGAAGGTAAGATCTCCGGTCTGATTATTCAGATGAATGTTACTCCATCCCGAGTCGCCAGCGCTGTTTAATCCATTAACTTGCACAAGACCATCGCCGGTTCCAAAGTTTGTTTGTTTACATTTACTAAACGATTTTAACATTACAGTTTTAATTAAAAATGACAAACGACATGTCATTCGAAAGCTCAGAGTTTCAGGGTTCGACATTTACGACCGTATTCTCATAGCGATAACTTCATTTTAATTCGTAACGGGATTTGCCATCACTTCACGGAACACTGAAACGGGAAATTCTTAAACGTTTTAGTCCAGTGACAATGACTGATGACTTCAAGCATGCTAACACCAGTGTAGTTTTCATGGCAATATAAAAAAAAATAAAAAAAAATTAGATTTTTTAGTTCAAACTGTGGTAATTTAGGAAGAATATCGACATCTCTGCTTTATTTACATATTTCTTCGGAGTAAATTATAATTCTTTCCACATTTTCAATAAATTATGCACTCCGATGTGTATTTCAGTATTAAATCTCTATAGTATCAAGTTTGATCGAGTCTTACGTACAGAATGACCCCACCCCCAGTGTTCTTTCTGCAGAGCTGATTGGTCATTCATTCAAAATATTCTAACAGCGCCACCGGCTGTTGAGACGTCCAAATATGCCGGACCCATAATATTTACTGCACACAGGAAGCCAATTTAAAGCTAATACAGTTCAGATGGATGCAAAATGCAGCCAATGTGTAGATAATTACAGAGATTACACATAGATTGTTTGTATTGGGGTTTCAGCCATATGTATATTTCCAAGCACAGACATTTTGTAATTAAAATAAAACCTGCATTTAGATATCTTAATTTTTGCTTTGTCTAATATATGCACCACTAATGTAACAAAAATAACTGAACAAAAACAAAAACAATGATTGTTTTCTGACAGGTTTCCAAACACTTATCCTCCCTTTTTTATTGGTTAGAAAAACAAAGAGTTCCCTCAAACTCACTTTATTGGTTTAGTCAATGGTGCTGTGTCAGGTCACTCAAACAAACGTAACAATATTTTCAAGGCACCATAAAGTCACATGGGGAAATCAATCTTTGAATGACTTAAGCAGGGATCACAATATGATTTTGACAACAATTTTGTCAATGAAGACACATTTTCAGATTTATATTGTTTGTTGGGCAAAATCAATAGTGCTGATTACTTCTTTTGACATATGCATTAATTTTTGTATATTGTTGGGTGCACAGTGCTATTTGAACAATATAGCACAGGCATAAATCTGAAAAAAACTAAAACCAGCAGAATAAGGATGTGGAAGATTGCAGAAAATCAGGCAGAGTAAGTTTTGTCTCATATTAATTATATTTTTTAAATGTACCTTCCATAAGAGAAAAAAGCTAACATTAATCTCATTTTTAATGGAAACCCCTTGAGATTTTACTATTAAATTTGCCAGACTTGTGGCTTTCACAAATCATTGCGCTTTCAGTTGCTCTGGCACAGTTTTGTATAGTTATTCCTATATATATTATTCATAATTAATGGATCTATACATTCCAAAACATTTAGACTTCTTTTACTCTTTTTTCTATAACACTATAATGAATTCTGACTTCTGAACAGTAAACTCATAACTATCATCTCTTTAAAGAGACCACAGTTATGCATGTAGTCTAAATGGTTGATAAACTGCATCCTTTTTAGTTTATGTAGGTCATGTTTGGGTTTGAGCTCAGCTAGAGGGGTGACTGTTAACAGGTTAACACAGCAATGAGGGTGCCTTGATCTCCAAACCACCGTATCACATCATCTCTCTGTATTTTAGTAACACCAGTGTGTAGAGTGACAGAATCTCCCTCCATCACTGACAGTGACTCCACATCATCTGTCACAGCAACAAACACATGAGGAGAACAAACAGGAGCAGTTAAAACAGAGATTGATTACTGCAAGCAATTTTCCAAAAAATATAATAGGGTGTGAAAGCCTGAGACTACATTGAAAATTCTTGATCTAAAATATTTTAGCATTTAAAAAATGCAAAACATTCAAACATTTTTATATAAAAATTATGTTACCAGGTTATGTGATGTCAATACAAATATTTGGAATGAGAAAAAAAGCATGACTTTGGATACCACTGTATTTAAAATGGTGCCACCAATAATTTACTGTATAGATAATGTATAATATAGATAATTAATGGATGCTTATCATGTTCTATTGGCTCTTACTCTGACCCTCATTAATTAAATATGAAATCAGACTTTCTACACTGTCTAATTTTCAGTATAAAGTTTCCTGAACTCAAAATCAGTCATCAGGAAAAGATAACACAACACACCTTATGTTTTCAATTGGTAATTGGATTTTTTTTATTGTTTGATATTTACAAAAAACAAAGGCAGTACAATTCCACTTAATTTATCTGAATGTTCATTATTAATGGTTTTTATCTTTCTGAATTTTCAGGGACTTCCTTATAATATAATAATTATCATCATTATAGTTTACATTATTACAACAAACAAATGAGTCAATATTATGAAAAAGACTATATGTCTAGATCTATACTATTAATAATTGTGATACTGTATAGTGATGTATATGCTTTCCCAAGGATTTTTCCCTCATCCTATTTTAATTAGGCATAACACATTCATGGTTAAAAACAAACAAACAAAATTAATTAATTAATTAATTTAAAAATGTAACATTAATAATACATAAATGCATGAAATATAGTAAATTAATAAAGAGAAGTGTTTTCATTTTTGTGAAAATGATCTGATTTGGTCATTTATTGGCTTCTTTGTTTTTTTATTTATTAAATTGACACAACAAATAATAATATAACACACCTCACACACTCAACTTCTTTGTCAGTTGCTGACATGTTTTTATTTATTCATCTTTTTTTGAATTTACAACAAAATATAAATAGTTTACTCTTCAAGGCAAAACGTGTGATCTTTTAATTCCCATAAATAGCATTGCATGTAAAACTTGGGTTACTCACCATGAACAGTAACACTGAAATTCTTGGATATTAGATGTCTACCCCCGATGTCTAGTATATAAATTCCTTCATGTTGAGATGTGATGTTTTTGATGGTGAGAGATCCAGTTTTATGGTCCAGCTCCAGTCTGCCTTCGAAACTCCTATCAGGAACATCATTTGTTGGGTTGTTGTTTTTAATTTCATATTTGTTGTTTTTAACTTCAGCTATGATGACATTATCTTCACGCATCCACTCTATTATATCATCGCTCTGTAGTTCAGAAACAGTAGTGTGTAAAGTGACTGAATCTCCCTTCATCACTGATACTGACACTGACACTTCAGCAGCACCAAACACACCTGAAGAACAAAGAGAAACAGGTGTTGCAAAGAGCGAGATTAAACTTACGCAGTAATGTTGAGTAAAAAAGATGTGCCATAAGTGTTAATATCTATGACATTAAATTCTCAAACAATTTAAAGTAAGTGTGCACAAGTCTACAAAAAAAAAATTCTTCAGTATTCTGCAAACATAAATAAGGCATTTACAATAACTACAATAAAAAAATGAGAATGATAAATTCATGGTTGTATCACCACAGAGATTAAGTACAGAAGTAAAATCACCATCATATATAACCACCAGCCTCCTGAGGTGTGAAAATATAACGTTTACAGGACAAAAACCAAGTTCGAAGTTAGAAAGTACAGTCTTTTACATGCACTTACTGGTCACACAACGTTTAAACAACATATTGCACAGTGTAGAGGCTGCATTCAGCACAAATGTGAGACCAACTTTTGTATTTGTTCTACTGGTTTCAAATTGGGGCTGAGGTGGCATAGCCTAATTATTCTGAAGAAGTCAATTAGATTGTCACCAGAGATGGGCATATATATATATATATATATATATATCCTCTTAAGACCCGAGAAACGATGTTTAAGAAAAAAAAATAGTTTTTTTCATGTCTTTACATTGTTTAGAGCATAAAAAAAATTAAAAATAAAAAATGTAAAAAATGATATTTCATTCAAAAGTTATGCTATGTCCTCGGTAGAGGACATCGGGACTCAATTTAAAAAAAAAAAAATAAAAAGACATGAATGAACATGAATAGGCAGAAACAATTGATTTTTTATATCACCAATACATTTTTAGTTTTCAGGATTTTTTTTTTTTTTACCAAACTTTGTATAAAGATGATGATGTTATAACAGAATGATTTGATATACCATTTTTCTTTCTGCAAAATGTGTGTAAAATGGCCATAAACGGGTTTTCTCATTATATACAATGTATCTATAAACTAAATCTAATTTGCATATTAATGTGTTTTTGGGGCATCATGTAATGAAAAAAAGAAGTTTAATAATGGGAGTAATATTTGACAAGATGTTCATAATAATATACAATATTTAATAGAATATTGAAACATAATTTCTTTCCCTATTCATTTGTTGTCTCCCAAAATGCTAATAATAAACATGCTTTTAGTCCCGGTGTCCTCATATGAGGACATGTATGAAATCAACATCCTGTTTCGTAACAGAAAGTCATATTTTGATTTGAAACCCCATAACATTTTCCTGAGATGTTGATTTATGACACACAGTTCAAAAATTAGACAGATTTAAATGATAATTACAAAATATTATCATATTTCCATAAGAGTGTCACTAAATTAATATCAGACATATTTGAAGACCAAGGAGAGGGAGTGGTCATAGTGAAACATCCAAACATTTAGTATCTCTGAAAAGCCCTGAATGTGCTCTGTACAGGACATCCAGACTTACAACTGTGGCATGTATAGTCTCAGAGAAATACACCAAAATATAATGTCCTCATATGAGGTCACAGGGTCTCAGGAGGTTAAAAAAAAAAAAAAGTCAAAATATCTTTACAATGTTTGCA